ATATGTACTACAGCGTCTCCAGCGCTTTCGAGGCCGACATCTATCGACGGCCGAAATCGGCTTGGGGTGTCAGGGCCTTTAGTCGTACAATGTGTTGGAGCGCTAGCCAATAGAAGCGCAAGTGTTAAATAGTGATGTAAGGGAGGTATACAAAGGACTACAATCAAGGAGCTTCAGGCCCGCTGGAGCAGGGGTTCACAACCTTTTTTCCCAAGAGCCCCCGCAAATGACTCCTGTTGGAACACACACACACACAAGGGGGGGCAACAGTGGTAATTAGAGTTTAAAAGTCTCAAAAATGCTACAACTACTGTCACAAACTGGATGAATGTGAAGTATTTTTTTAAAGGAGGATGAAAGCGTAATTAAGGAGCACTATTGGAGTGACTTTGATGGTTATTGGACTCAGGATTAATTCATTTGGATTCCCGCTGTATGAAAAAATTAAAGGACGGCGCAAGTGGAAACAATTCACAAAGGGATTAAACTGTTTAAAACACATGCTCAAAGTAAGCCGGATGTTGCCGATGTGTTTGTGGATTCAAAAGTCGTAAATAATCTACAAAATGGAGGAGACCGATCTGATCGGAGCAACTGTGACAAATAATCCAACTGAAAACGGCATGAACAATGACTATGTTTTAAAAATGCGTTTATCCAGAAAAGCCTGATTTGGACACTTTACGGGCAGAAGAAACATTTCTATTAAAGAAAAAGTTATACATTTCTGTCTTTTTATGCCTTTAATAGCTACTAACTTGAATTTGTATTAAAATTAATTAATCAATTATTTTTTATATTTGATTGTAATGTAGAGACAAGGCTTTTAGCGACAATCATGCATTGTGTTACAATTCTATGTAAAAAAAAAAAAATTATATAAAAAAAACAAAAGTCTAAATATGATATTTGGTCTCAAATCATCTGAGGCCTGGCGCACCCATCTGGAGGGAAGTTTGGGATTTTAGCTATTTATTTAAAACCTATATAACAAACTACAGGAATGGGGAAAACCCCAAAAAGCATAATAGAGCCTCTTTAACACTGAGCAGATTGCAACTTTTATTTTGAATTTAAGCCTTTTGTGGAACAACATATAAACAATGGGTTACCTATGGTGTCAACAGAAGATATATATAACTTTCTAAAGCCAGAAATCGACAAATAGCAGCACCCAGCAGGATGCAATATGTTTACTTATTAAAATCAAAACGGCATAAGTAGCTTTACATTATTATCCAATAAGAAGTTCAATGACGGTCATATCAAATGCAAAGCTAGACGCAGAATCAATATCCGTATTAAAGAAAGAAGAATGATGCCCTTTTGTGTGACATTTACCTTCAATTAGATCTAAACAAGGATACTAAGACTGCTTTGCTTTTAGTGGGCTTGGTGCACTCCATCTGTTTCATAGTGCGGTCTCTCACTGTTATAAACCAACTGTCCATTTCAAGTGGCAACATTGTCAAAAAAGGCAGCAGACGTAAATCATAAACAGTGGATGTGTTTTGCGATAAATAGGTCACGACATGCAGGGCATTGATGAGAGAGAGATGGCTGCTGGCAGTACATGCTCCTGTCATAAAAGAGATTTCTGCTTTCATTTTAATACTAACACACAGTGCATGTGTGTTTACACTCTTCCCCCCCTAAAACCCTCACTAAATACCTCATCTTTGAACTAACTGTTACACCTGACGACGAAAAACGAGAGGTTTCTTAAGCAGAAATCCAAATAACTCATGGTATGATCACGTGATACCAGTCCTATCTGTTCATTGGCTGCTTCTCCTGTTCTGCACCACAAGTTCCAACATAACAGGAAGTGTGCATTCATCTTTAATGTGACATTTAGCACACACAGAGGCTTTCATTCACACAATTGTTTGAATTAATTGACCAAATGTAATTGTTGACAGGAATATGTTTGCACTTCCAGGTTGTCTGCTATTATGAGAAATGACTAAGTGTTGCAACTCTGTATTTTCTTCTGTCCATTCTGTCTTGCTTTATCATCACTTTTGACTCAATGGAATACTCTTTTTCCTGACCTTTTGGTCTCTATTGTCTCTCAGTCTGCATTCTTTAATTATTCTGATCCGTTTTATCCTTGCTTAAGCCTTGGCTTGGACTCCCCCGGCTTAATTTATCTGAACGTATCCCTCTATATCCTTCCTGCCCTTTCTCTTTGCACCTTATCTCAACTTCCCTGCAGCTCTTAAGTAACATCTGTGTCTGCACTAGATTTGCTTCTAGACACTTAGTTTTCACTGGTAGATTTCCATCCAAGTAGTGCATTTGATGGCTCTTTTCTTGCTTGAGTTTTTTTTTTAACTGTCTGCTGCCTCTAAATGCTTCTTGATAAATAAAAACACTGCCAGTGAACTGAAACCAGTACTAAAGTAGAAATTCAAACGCAGGAATGATTTTCCTGGATGAATATGAATTCATATTAAGTGGTCACTAAATAAACTAACACACAAGCTACATTCACTACATCCACAGTTGCCTATAAGAGTGATTTACAGTATGTGTAGTGTATGTGCCGCACACAGCAACAAAGATATACAACTCTATCTGTCACTCTCCTTCAATGTATCTTTGTCACTGTGTAATTTCATTAGATGTATGGCGGACAATTACACAAGGGCTACACGCACAAACATGGCACTTGAGTAAAATGTCCTCCCCACCCCCCCACCTTCTTCGCTCTCTCCTTCACTGTTTTTCTCCAGCTGTCTCTCTCTCGCTCTCCACCCACACTCAGGCACTCAGCATAAATCAGGCCGTGTACTTGTAATGGTGATTGACTATGTGTCGTAATAGCCAGTGTATGATCGTATCTAGGAGATTATAAATAAATAGTTGAGTGTGTGAGTGCATGTGTTAGGGAGCATGTGTTTCGTTTTCATCTTTTATGGTTGGTGGGTGTATTGAATTAGGCGGGGGGAGGTCGGTAATGACTGATGTATTGATCCTGACACGTCTCAGCTGAACAGGTGGAACACACACAAACTCTCTTGCTGCTGTGCTGAGTCAGTGATATAGTGCTTATTGGAGCGTTAAACAAACACCATCGCAGTTCCCCAATCTGTACTATCACTCACTAGAAACACACACGCATACACATGCCCACTGACAACAAAAGGATATGCACACTCAGTTTGCCTGTATTCTTATCTGATTATGCTAATTACATATTGATAATAAGATGATAACAGCAAGGAAAATGTATGCTTTTCTAAAAATGAAATACTTTAATTTGTCACTTTGTAACATCTCCCATTCATACTCAAGCATACTCTGGCTGGATGATATCACTTGTGATCAGTTGGATGCGGCAGGAATGACTCCTGAAACCTGGAAATGAGTAAGCAATTCTGCAGTTTCAGTTCCCCTGTCTCAAGGCCCAGAGGTTTTTTTGGTGAGATTTCTATGCTTCTTAAATGTTTTAAACACGATTAAGATATTTTACATTTGGTTCTATAACATAAGACACACTATTAAAAAAAAATGTACGCAACTTAACAAAGATGTTGCTAACAAGTAGCTTAATGATAACAGAGGTTTTCTGGGACATTCAACATTATCAAGTCAAACACAACGACATTTTAACTCCTGGCAATTGCATTTAAGCTTGTCAAATCTAAAAAATGCTTTGTTAAAACCTGTTTAGCCCTGAGCCTGTTTTTCAAGTTTCAGGCTCGAAAATGACATTCCCAGAACAAATGACCATATCTTCCCTTCTAAAAGGGTTAAATTAATAATCTTTTTTCTCAAAGTAATGATAAACCTGTGAGTTGGATGTAGAAAAGTCAGAATCAATATAGATGTTTTTTATTTTAAAGAAAATTCAGATTGAACATAGTAAAAAACTGTAAATTATAGTGTCTGTCCAAAAAATGTTTTTACTTATAGTGAAAACTACCCTTGTAAGGTAGACTAAAAGCTTTGGGAATCCAAAGTACAACATATAATAAGTACCCTGTATCAAGATTGATGCAAAACAATTGACATTTGACCTTTTTAGAGAGGTTTAGCAAAAAAACTCCACCTCTGAGGTGATTTGGGTGGAAATGGGGGTTTTACAGTTTCTCTGGAACCCATTAGTCGATTTTGGTGATTGACATCTCTTTTTGACCGTTAGAGCCAATAGAATCGAAGGGGAATCTCCCCGCTCACACACATGCTAAAACAAAAAGGTGGGGCCTTCGCGCAAGCAGTTTTGCATCAGAGTGAAAATATTTCTAGCTCTGACATCTAGAAACGGAAAAGCAGGTTTATTGCTTATGGATTATCAGAAATAATTTCAAAGGGACACAGACACATTGGATTAACCTATGGATTAACTTCAGCAGTGTTTTTATCGTTTTAATGTCATTGAAGACCACTTTTGACCAGACTACAACACAGGTGAGCCATGTTAGCGTTTTTAGCTACCAAAACCGGGGCCACATGTTTTGATGTCTGTTCTTGTTAATATCTCCACGAGTTCGTATAATTGAGTGATAATGAAGGGTACCCCTCGATTCTGTGTCATCTCACAATGTGAAACGATGGGTTGGATGTGCAGCAAAGATAAATAATAAGGTTTTGTGAGTGAATTTTGGTGCAGTCATCTGTTAGCATTTTTCGCTCGTTGCTAATTCAGAGGCTCAGCGTTAGCATTGTGGGGTTTTAAGAAAAACAAAATTAAAATGATCAGTTAGATGAGTTTCTTCCTGTTACATTGATATAAAACATTCATAGTTTATTAAACGAACATGCCCTCAGACACTGTTACCTGCAAGATGTTGCGGGAGGGCCCCGGTACCGGGGTCTGTCGGTCTTAACAGGTTAAGACAGAGCTTGTTTTCAGCTACAATCCATTGTAGATATTCCGTTGGCTTTTTCTTGTAGGAACCAGCCAATGCTAAATTCAAGATTAGCCTAAACTTCATCCCTGTAGGATTCAATAACCACACAAATTATAATGTTAAACTCTGTAGAATACGTACTACTGCGCTGAGTCGTTGAGCTGGTACTCGCGGGCGCGGCTGAAACACTCCTGGTTGCCTGAGTCGGACCACAGGCGCATCATGGCGCCGAGCAGTTCGGCGGAGTAAGGCTCTGTATCCTCCATACGAGTGACCACGTCACACACCATCTTAGCATCCGCCTGGAGAAAACACAAGAGGAAAGAAGCAGGAGGTTAGTAATCTTAGAGGCCTGAGGTGGAGCAGCGTTTGTCCTTAACTCTAGTTGCTGCTATCACATCACCACCCAAAATGACATTAGTATAACTATAAACAAACACAGAGTTGTTCAATGCATTTTAAACAGTGTGCCACTTATAGACAATACATTTCCAAGTGCACTACAATATGATTAATACCCTATGTTACTTGAGGGTGATCTAGTATATATTTACGTCTTTATTAGAAGTATTACATAGGAGCAGAGTTGGGTGTAACGCGTTACAAAGTAACTGTAATAATATTACTTTTGTCGGTAACGGAGTAGTGTAACGCGGTACTTTTATAATTCAGTAATCACACTACAGTTACTAACATTGCCCCGACACGCGTTACTTCACTACTTTTATAAAATCAGTCATAATCACACTATGGGCTCAGAACAGTCCCATAATATACACATGCACACAGAAGGATTCACACTTGTATTTCATGATCCGCAAAAGGATCCACACTTGTGTTTTTCAATGCACACACAAATGTGTTCCGTTTCATATACATGTAAATAAAATCCAAATACAGAAAAAAGTTTTACATATGTATTTTTGATCCTCACATATTTGTTTTCCGTTTAAAACCTCTGGACCTGCAAATACAAACCGCTTCCTGTGCACGCATCGCTGTGCATTCGTGTGTGGGTTTTTTGAGACTCCCCTGACGGTCAGCCGATTCGTACTTGTAATTTTTTATATCTATAGCCAATCAGATATCTCCTCAATTTTAAGCCTGAGCCCTCACATGAGCGCGCCCCCACGAGGGTAGATTTTTATGTAGAGAGTAACGAAGTAGTGTAATATATTACTTTTTTTTAAAAAAAGTAATATATTGCTTTTTTTTAGTAACGACCCCATCTCTGCAGGAGCCTACCTAACAATGGACTAGAGGGGGGACGGTTACCATGAAAAGAGCATGGAAAAGAGAGGACGCTTGAGGTAACAACGATTACAGAAGGGGATTACAGAAGATGACGGAAGAGAACAAGAGAATCAGTTTAGGAGGAGAGAGAGAAATGAATAAGAGCCTTTTGAGCTCCCGCTGCTCTTTTATTGTTCGGTGAAAAGACTTCACAAAAGCATCCTTTAAAATCCAAGTCATTACAAACAGTATTTTAGTATAAAGTTATTAGGCAGACACACTAGCTAGTGTAGTTAAAGAAAAAGCCTAAATTATACCTTTTTAATGTCATCAAATTGCATTGTGGGAAAACCATTGAGAAGATTCTTTAAAAATCTCCAGCCAATCTGCCTTTGGCGCGTTCACACCGCAGTACTTTTCCCACTTTAGTTCATCAGAACTCTTTAGTTCTCATGAACTAAGTACAGATCGCGTTCACACCAGAATAAATTCCTGGGGAAGGATTAGAAAAATGAAGCCGCTGACGTCACTTCTTCTTCTGCTTTGGGTTTACTGGCAGGCCGCAAACGACTTCACGGCATATACTGCCACCCAAAGTCCCCGGCTGGAAGTCCCCGGAGTTGGGGACTGGCTTCAGTAGAAGCTGCTGGGACTCCCAGCAGCTTCTACTGAAGCCTTCCGAGTAAATCGCCAGAACGCCGACACCTCCTCATCTCCACTGCTCCCATGTTTTATTTTGTGTTGCCATACATGAGTCTCTCTGTGTTTCTGCGCTGGGCTAATGCTAATAATGCAATGCGAGGATAATAAAATGGCGGCTTCACAAAACTTTTTTGGAGTTTTAAGAGGCGTGGTTTGCAATCCGCCCAGCCAATCAGAAATAGGAACCTTTTTCTCCCACGAAAGTCCCTGCTCTCTAGCAGGGACTGAAAAGGGGGTTAAAAGGTTCTCATGAACTAATTTAGTTCCTGGGACTTTTTGGTGTGAACGCAAATATATCGTAGTTCTGGTGAACTATTGTGGGAAAAGTACTCCGGTGTGAACGCTGCTAATGACTTGGTATGGACGGGGACAATATTTATGGGATTGAACATTGAACTCCAAACAATTATAATATTCTATCTTGTTATTGCATATGAAATGATTTAATAAAAAACATTATATTGATATTGTTTCATTTATAAAATACATTTGGGTCATTATTTTCTTCTCCACAACAAGGTACTATCCACAACTTCTGCTTATGGAAAGTGGACTATTGCCATGATATGCAGTGGAAATTAAATGCATTAGCTCCTCTTAAAACCAGATCTCAATATATTCCGACTGAATTCAGCAGTTTATCCAAACACCCTTTTCCCCTTTGCAGTTACCATCTACATGATACTTCATGCTCACAGTAATATGCGTGGAGCCCTGACCTTTGTACCCTATTCTCAACGCGTGGTGGCTCCATGTGCTGAGACAGCTACAGCCACACACTTAAACTGTACTCAACAGGAACATGGATGACCAGATGGATGCATGCGCACTATTTTGGTTGGTGCTTAGGGTTAAGGGATTGGTTTTAACCCCAACCTTAACAGAAGTTCATTAAGCTGTACAACAAAGATGTCAGACAGGGAGTGATTTCACAATGATGCATACAATGTTATTTTACAGGATGTTACAAAATCATAACTCCAAGCTTTAAAAAGGATTTATTTATTTTTCCAAATGTCAAAAATGCAGGCCTTAATATGCCCATTAAAGAGTACCAAAAACATCTACATCTTTTTTCACATTTTTGAATCACTCAGTTTTCTTTTCTTTTCTTGCCCTCTTTCTCTTTCCCATCTTTCCCTGATAGAGAAAATCATTAGTTTCGCATTTGGTGGCACTATATGAAAGGTCAAGTGTCATCAAGGTCAATAGGACTACTGGACAGATAACACATAATGCCAGTAGATGGTGATACAATTCACATGATAGTACAAATTTGACTTGACAGTAGTTAGAGGAAATCAGAGGGACAACAAAGTCATTCCGAATCATCCTCTTGAAAAATCTATAGCAAATGTAATTGCTATCACTCAATATAACTTGATATAATTCACTCAGGGTGCAACAGTCCCCTTCTAGGCTACTAGTCATCAATCACAATGTTAATTACTATTGTTTATGTGGCTTGTGAGTAATTAAATACACTAGCCATATATTTCCGAGAATTTGGCAGGAAAATGTTACTGAAAAAGTTCAAATTTTCTTGCCAACATCATAGTGCTACTAGAGTTAAATCAGGGAACCATCAGACTCAGTAGGATGCACCATCTAGGAAATGTAATATTCAGTCTGGAAGACCCAGAGCCATGTCATTTGCATGATATGGCATCAGACCAAATGAAGTGAAGTGCCGGTGTGAAAGTGATATTTGCGTTGTTTGTGTACAGAGTCGCTGTGCTCTGTAAATAACGGCAGACAGTCCCAATATGAGTCACTGGTTTTACCAGACGTTCTATAGACGTAGGACCTGTCATTTCTTTTATAATGGGGAGTGTGCTCCTTCCTGTATATCCTTCTGTGCACCGAAGCATATCAACTCTCAACCTACCTGACCCAGTCCTGTCTTTCTCTCAGCTAAAAGTCTTCCCTCTATCATCATCACCACTGCTGTCTCTTTCCATCTGATTTCTATTGACATTCATCTCTCGACAGTGTTTTTTATCTTTGTTTTTCCCATGTCTGTCCTTCAGCTGTCCTTCCATCTGTGCCCATGACCATGTTTGTTTTGTTCTTCTCCATTTGCCCTCTCTTGGCATCATGTTCCTGTTTTCTTCTTTCTCTCCTTTCCTTGAGTATTAATGTCCATCACAACACCCTCACTCTCTCACTGTCCATTTGTCAGGCTCTTCTACTCCTTGCGTCTCTCCGTTTGATTTCCCCTCCCTCCCTCTTCTGTCTTTTAGTCAGCAATCTAGTTTCCTTTCATAACTCTCTACATCTCTCCATCTCTCTGTCCTGCTACCCTTTCTCACTTTCATGACACTGACCTGTGTTCTGTTAAAACCATTTTTAACTCTGTCACCAAGGTGTGTGTGTGTGTCTGTGTGTGTTTGTATAAGACCATGTGACAAGTGTGTGTTTCTACATTTGTCCTAGAGATGCTTGAACTGATTTTAGTGTATTTTTATACATTCAAATGTATTTCTGGACTGAAAGGCTCCATCTACAATATGATAGAGTGGGACCAGAAGTGTATATACACAATGTGTCATAACATGTACAATTGCATATTTAAGTTTTGAAACTGTTGCGTTGTCTTGAGCAAATCATAGCAGAACAAGAACAAATAATACTTAAAGGGGCCCTATTATATTTTTCGGGGGGTTTCCCTTTCCTGTAGTGTGTTATATAGGTCGCAAGTGTTTTGTGATTTTGTCAAGTCGAGTCCAAAGTCATCAAATTGGTGACTCGAGTCTGACTCGAGTCCAAGTCACGTGGAAATTGGTTTCCCTGTGACGAAAGTATTGCTTTTAAATATACGTATGGTATTAGTCCGAGTAATTATAATTCTGTCTATGACACCAATTTCAGAGTTTACATTTAGGTACATTCTGTGCATATACTTCTAAAACTACGCATTTGTGGTGTTTTAGCATCAATAATCGGGGGACATTTGTATATGATAGTCATGAGTAATCATACTTTGTATTTCTTATTTACCTGCCCTTCATCCTTGCTTGGACAGTGAATGGGCAATCATATGTGCCAACATCATTCCTCCATCCTCTGCATCTGATCCTTTCACTTCTTTCTCTCCTCTGTCCTTCCATTCAATACCCAATCAGAGCACTTCTGCGTCCTTGTCGTCAATCTATAGTGAATCATCCCTCTGCACAGTACATCAGTACGCCCACCACACATTTAACTGCATAAACTTACCAAACCTATATTTACGAAACACACATTCCTCCATCCTTCCCTCCATGTATATGTGTGTAGGTGTCATCTAATGCAGAGGCTGAATGAGCAGAATATGACACCTTTAATTATAGAGAACAAAATGTACCATGTATTTCAAGAGTTACGT